CCTATTTTTTACAGTCATTGGTTACACCTAAATGACTTGACAACGATAAAGTTTGTTTAAATCATAAATGCTTACTTTATTTGTATTTATTTATTTTGGTTTGGCATTTGTTTAAAGTTGCAATTTCGTTTTGTTATTTGACAAAGTAAATAATTATTTTTCAAAGAAATATGCAGTACATTACCTGAAAAAAGTCTTGTCACCTATCCAAGTTTAGGAACATCAAATAATAACTTCTAGTTGATCATTTGATATCAGAATTGGCTTATATGAAAGACAAAGGCCTCTAGATTACAATTATTTTACCAAAAGAATACATGATCATGCCTTGATTTTTAATAATTTAATTAGGACAATAAGATCTGACTTTGCTGAGACAAAAGTCTCGTCACTTAACAGAAATAATGTCCAGTATAGAATATAAAGTCATGCTGCAGTGGAAACAGGATGAATGTTGTGTCTGACTCCATCATGAGCTTGGAGGACTGCATCCATACATCTCTGCAATGACTCAAATCACTGATTAATAAAGTCATCTGGAATGGCAAAGAAAATGTTTCTGCAGGACTCACAGAGTTCATCAAGATCCTTTGGATTCATCTTCAATGCCTCCTCCTTCATTTTACCCGACATGCTCAATAATGTTCATATCTGGTGACTGGGCTGGTCAATCCTGGAGCACCTTGACCTTCTTTGCTTTCAGGAATTTTGATGTGGAGGCTGAAGTATGAGAAGGAGCGCTATCCTGGTGAAGAATTTGCCCTCTCCTGTGGTTTGTAATGTAATGGGCAGCACAAATGTCTTGATACCTCAGGCTGTTGATGTTGCCATCCACTCTGCAGATCTCTCGTACACCCCATACTAAATCTAACCCTAAACCATGATATTTTTTTTCTTCACCAAACTTGACTGATTTGTGTGAGAATTTCGGGTCCATGCTGGATCCAAATTCGGTCTTCTGCAGTATTGGTGATGATTGGGATGCAGTTCAACAGATGATTCATGGTAAAAAATCTACCTTCGGCCACTTTTCCAAAGTATCAATCTGAAGTCAAGTTATCAGTTGTTGCTTTTACAACTGGGCTACACGACAAGACTTTTGTCAGGTAGTGTATATGAGAAATAGTAAAATGGCACATTTATTTTTACAGAAAATTGTCTCTTGGTGTTCAAATAAATTGTGCAAAGTTCATATAACTATAAATAAAAAAAAATTTTTGGCACGTGGGATAGCACAATCACCTCACAGCAAGAAGGTCGCTGGTTCGAGCCCCGGCTGGGTCAGTTGGCATTTTTGTATGGAGTATGCAAGTGCTACGGTTTCCCCCACAAGTCCAAAGACTTATGCTATTGGTGAACTGGGTAGGCTAAAATTGTTCGTAGTGTATGTGTGTGAATGAGTGGGATGGTTGTTTGCCAGTGATGGGTTGCAGCTGGAAGGGCATCCGCTGCATAAAACATATGCTGGAAAAGTTGGTGGTTCATTCCGCTGTGGCGACCCCAGATTAATGAAGGGACTAAGCCAAAAAGAAAATGAATGAATGAATGATTTCGGCCTCATCAGGGGTGTGTGCATTATTTTACAGTATAATTGTAGTATAATTACAGCAATTTTACACTGTGTATAATTACAGCAATTTTACATAGTGTTACAGAATAATTAGCCACAATATTATCTATTGAGTAAAGGAACCGTTTTTGATGTCTTAAGATTTCGTCTTTAAGTGTGTTTTACTGGTCTCCTGAGACAGACGGTTGTGGTTTCCTGTTGGTGCCTTTCTGCATATGGCAGCAAATGTGTTATGATTACTCACTTGTGTTGCCAAAACAAAACCCCTCAGTGTGTGTGTGTGTGTGTGTGTGTGTGTGTGTGTGTCTGCCCAGTGAACCGGTAGGAAAAGTCATCAAAAATGGCTCAAAGTTCTTATGGCACAGAATATTTCCACACTGCCACTACAAATTAAACTGTTAACCGTATAGTTTCCATGAGATCTCCGTCTCTCTCTCTCTCCTGTCAGTGTCGATATACTGCCTGCAGATCAGGGGAAAGAAACCCATTCCAGATGGCAAGCATTAACAGTACGTTTCCCCATCAAAACCATTTTGTCGTAACTCCTCATAGATTATTTTCATTGTGCTGTTATTAAAAAGTATAACACACACAAACACATAAGCAAAAATGGCTGTTACTGAAATAATTCACTTTTAAAATGCTTATTTACTTGAATCAATGGCTCTATGAACATCCACAGAACATTCCAGATGAACAAAAGGTTCTTTATAGTGAAAAGTATTATTATTATTATTATTATCATCATCATCATCATCATCATTATTATTATTATTATTGTCAATATTATCATTAGTATTATTATTATCAATTTTATTATTATTATTATCATTATTATTATTATTATTATTACCAATTTTATTATTATTATCAATATTGTTATTATTATTATCAATATTATTATAACCAATTTTATTATTATTATCAATATTGTTATTATTATTATCAATATTATTATTATTACCAATTTTATTATTATTATCAATATTGTTATTATTATTATCATCATCATTATTATTACCAATTTTATTAATATTATCAATATTGTTATTATTATTATAAATATTATTATTATTATTATTATTATCATCATCATTATTATTATTATTAATATTATGATTATTATTATTATTATTATTATTATTATTATTATTATTATTATTATTATTAGAGTTTAACAATTTTACTTGAAGGGGGACATGGTGGCCCAGTGGTTAGCACTGTCGCCTCACGGCAAGAAGGTCGCTGGTTTGGGACCCGACTGGGTGTGTTGGCATTTCTGTGCTGAGTTTGCATGTTCTCCCTGTGTTGGCATCGGTTTCCTTCGGGTGCTCCGGTTTCACCCACAGTCCAAAGACATGCGCTATAGGTGAATTGAATAAACAAAAGTGGCCGTAGGGTATGTGTGTGAATAATTGTGTATGGGTGTTTCCCAGTACTGGGTTGCAGCTGGACGGGCATCCACTACAGTACATTAAACATATGCTGGATAAGTTGACGGTTCATATTGCTGTGGCGACCCCTGATTAATAAAGGGACTAAGCCGAACGAGAATGAATGAATGAATAACATTTAAAAACTGTGACATGCATTTGACATGTCATGATAATAATAAAAGTTATTATAAATAATATAAATTATTATTATTATATCAAGTTTATAACCATATCATGTGAATATGTTTACATTGTGGGGTGAATTATACATTTAACATGATTATAAACATGGTCATTTGGTATAATAATCATGTTTATTACCATTTTAAGGGGATAATTCACTCAAAATGAAAATTTACTCACCCTCAAGTTGTTATAAACCTTTATGAGTTTCTTTTTTTCTTTTTTTTTTTTTTAACACAAACAAATATAGTTTGAAGAAAGCTGAAAACCTGTAACCGTTGACTTCCATATTAGCTAAAACATACTCTGGAATTCAATGCAGGTTTTTAGCATTCTTCTAAACATCTTCTTTTGCGTTCAGAAGAAAGGTGAACTATCCTTTTAAGTTTGTAAATGTATAATAATAGCTCTATATACATATACAGTTGAGGTCAGAATTATTTGCCCCCTGGATTATTAGCCCCCTTTTTATTTTTTTCGTCAATTTCTGTTCAACTTCAACACATTTCTAAACATAATAGTTTTAATAACTCATTTCTAATAACGGATTTATTTTATCTTTGCCATGATAACAGTAAATAATATTTGACTAGATATTTTTCAAGACACTTCTATACAGCTTAAAGTGTAATTTAAAGGCTTAACTAGGTTAATTAGGTTAATTAGGCAAGTTAGGGTAATTAGGCAAGTTATTGTATAACAATGGTTTATTCTGTAGACTATCGGAAAAAAAGTACCTTAAAAAGGCTAATAATTTTGTCCCTAAAATGTTTTTAAAAAAATCAAAACTGCTTTTATTCTAGCCGAAATAAAACAAATAAGACTTTCTCCAGAAGAAAAAAATACTATCAGACATACTGTGAAAATTTCCTTGCTCTGTTAAACATCATTTGAAAAATATTTAAAAAAGAAAATAAAAATGCAAAGGGGGCTAATAATTCTGATTTCAACTGTATATATATATATATATATATATCTATATTCTTGGAGTTACGTTGTGTTGTTTAATTGTCCCTTTATTCATTCATTTATTTATTTATTTATTTATTGAGCAGTTTATAACATGTAGGTATCAAGGAAACTTGCCTTTCATTTTGCAGCTAATTAACCCCCTCTTATAAAATTCTCTTTGTATGAGTGTAAACAGTGAATACATTTTGATTTTGAGAGAATTATCCCCTCAAAATGATAATGACATGATTATTTGGTATAATAATAATTATTAATGTTATAAATAGTATAAATTATTTTTAATTTTTTTTTCAAAATCAAAATGTATTCACTGTTTATTCACCCTCGATGGAGTTGTTTTAAACCTTTATGAGTTTCTTTCTTCTGTTAAACACAAAATTTGTTTGAAGAAAGCATAAATTGCTCTATATTAGTAGAAACAAATACCATAGAAGTCAATGGTAATAGGTTTTTAGCTTTTTTATAAATATATTTTTGTGTGTGTTCAGCAGAAGAAAGACAATAAAACAGGTTTATAACAAATTAAGGGAAAGTAAATGAAGTCTGTTAACGTATAATAAATATCTATAAATATATATATATTTCATTTTGTACCTAATATAACTTCCTCAAAATTCGCGTTGTAAAAAAAGGCGTCTTTCAAAGACAGCTCAGCTGTTCTGCTGAATGAGAAAGTTCCACCACTCGCAGCCATGCTTTTACTGGCTGTGTTTTAAACCGTAAGTTAGTACGCTGCCTGCCTAGGCGACACTTGTTGAAACTTGTTGCGTCGAAATACCGTCATGATTTTGTCTATGTAGGCAGCTCATGTGTTATTATTAGACACAGAGCAGTGGCCGCTCTCTAGTGGTTTAACGCAGCTTCCCAGCTTCTCTGTGATTTACCCTCAAGACAGCGCATAGTATACAAAGCCAACGCCCCACACACTCACACTTTCCCCTCGCAGTGTTCACTAGTGCTCTGCGCGCTCCAGCGACACACGTCCAGGAAATTCATGAAGCAACCGAACTCGGCGTAGGAGTTAACGGATTTAGTACATAACTACGCTTTCATTGTCTTTCACCAGAAGAAGTCTTTTAATTTGTGAACGTTTGCTGACAAGGACACCCAGAAAGCGCTATTTATTAGGAAACATCTGCAGAATGGCAGAAACTGAAGGAAGTCCGTTTGGAGGCTGTTTGGAGAAACTGATGAGCTATGCGCGGACTCGAAAGGGGACGATACTGGCCGCCGAAATAGTAAGTTTTCAACACGTCGGTGTATTTTATTTAGCCTTTATTTCATTTTGTAAGGCGTCTGATAGTCACGCAGAGCTAAACAAAATACTGGCGTGAAATTATGAAGGGTTGCTATGGAGACTTACTCGGTGAATAAAAATAATTCGCCCATGTTGATTTACATTAACACACTTGAGTTGCGGAGAACTTAAAGGAATTTATTTATTAATTGAAGCATAGATATGAGATATTGCTTTCATGTTACCAAGCAGGCACAAACCCAGCAAACACTTTTGTGTTTAATAGACGTCTAACGTTAATATACATCTAAATTGAGACCACTTGGCTAAAACAAGGCTAAACTTGGGCTGTGAGTGAAAATCTAATAGACATAGCCCAAAACTAGTCTACTCGTCACATAGACATCTTAACGTTAGACAGACTGTATATGTGCTGTCATTCATTTCTGTTTATTTGATGACTCGTTGTGGCCTATTCTTTGACGTCTATCAGATTTTCACTGACAAGCTAAATTTAGCCAATGTTTAGACGTCTATCAGATATCTATTAGACATAATTTAAAAACAAAAAAGCTTGCTGGACCATCATTATGTTATTATGAGGTTAGATTTAGGTAGGATTACCACTTTTAATACAAAAAAATAAGGGACGCATACTGCAGCGGTTGCCACATCCACAATCACAGGCCCAATAGCATGCCAGTGGTGGTAAATCACAACAGCAAAAATGTTTTCAGGAAAGTGTGAAAACTTGGACAATAAAATAAACTGTCTTTAATTGAAATCTGTGTAAACATATGCAGTCAGTCTTTCTCTTTTACAACTCTGCAGCACTGATATAGCTGATGTTATGTTTAATAGTGTGGTACACCTGTGTTAACTAAACCTAGAGGAGAGGAGAAAATACTAATGAACCTAATTTTAAAGGGCCATGAAACCCCCCCCCCCCCCCACCCCCGTTTCAGCAGGGTGTTTTCACACCTCTACTTTGGAAAAAGTCAGAAAAGTGGGCGTGTCCAGCTCTGTTTAGGGGGGAGTGTCGGAGGAACTAAAGTGAGATGGTGTGGGAGTGTCTATTTGGGCACGCTCGAGTTTCAAAGTCAAAATACACACACAGACACACACACACACGGGAGAAAGTGATGGTGTTTACATGGACATCTGTAGTCGAATTATTTGCCAAATTATTAAATGGTGGACTTTAACTGCAGTTTGGCTCTTTCATTCAGGGAATTCATTTATGCCCCTCGCGACAAACGAGATATTTGATTCGAGGAACTGATCTAAGCGTGTATTTTTCATGCAATGTTTGATACCGCACGGCGAATGAGAGAAAAAAAAACCCTCCACATTTCCCGGAAACTTGGATGCACACAGCAGGTAGCATCAGAAATCTGCGAGTGTTATTACGGTCACAAAATGCGGTGAAAATCCTACACGAGGTTAAAGTTTGGTTGTGGTATTAACATGTTTACACTCTGTGCAATAGTTAACTTAGTTCGATACGAACAAACTGAATAAACAAAGAGCACTGGTCACTCACTTACCAAATCTGTAGAGACAGGACAATCACCAGTAACTAGAGCCGCGTCTTTATTTAGAGAAGACTACAAGCGAATCCGGATCTCAGCGTTTGCAGATGAGAACAGCTCTCAGGTAAACAATGTTCCTCCTAGACACGTAAGTTATTGTTGTCGAGCGTCGCGTACACTGTTAATCCACACGTGACTCCAGCTGAGCTCTCACAGAGAAAAAATGAAAACAAAACTTAACGGCAGCAAACTATAAAAGCAACACTTCACGCTTGTTTTGCCAATACAACGTGGCGTCTCTGTCGTATAAACACTGTGACAATAATGAATATTAATGAAGTTGCACAATAGAGTGCGCTGATTGGTTTGAACCAAGCCTTACTCATTCATTATTGCATCACACTGTAAGACGTAATAAGACACACTCTGGCTCAGACGTCCAGTCTGCACGCTGGAATACACGATATTATGTCATGACCGTGACACAGCTTCAAAAATTAGTTTCAAACCGGAAGTACGAATTTGCTTGAAATAACGCAAAAACAACCAATTTCCACTTTTTAGTGAAATATAGGTGTCCTAATAGTGTTTTTAGCAGTGTGGGACACATATACGACTGTCAACAGCTCAAAAAATGTGTTTTGGTGTTTCGTGACCCTTTAAAGAGTGGTATTGATAACAGATTTGGGCTAAAATATTTGTCATTATTTGCAGCAACAACTTTCCAAACATGCAAACAGCACACAAATAAACCAGATACAAACATTAGCTAGTAAAATTTTCGCCTATTTCTATTTTAAAAATATGGAAAGTTGCAATTTACTAGCTTAATTTCCTTACTTGGGCATTATGTTGTTTATTAATGAATTAAATATAATGTTTCATGTAATAACTTATGTGCCTGGCTTAACCTTAACAAACAAATCATAATAGAGCGAAAGTGAAAGTTAATAATGAGGAGGCTCATCTCCCATTCTCGTGCTGTAGATGCTCTGTTTAACTGTTTTCTTGCTAGTGAAATGCTCAGTTTTTCCACTTCCACTTACTTTACGTCATGTAAAGAGCAAATGCGCTTATGGCGCAACACAACTGACTCTTAAAGGGAACGGGAGATGAGACGCTGATTGGTTTATTCTTAAAACACACCTATAATAACTCATTGTATACCTATGAGTCCCTGACATCCTACAACAGAGTGTGTAATACAACTTCAAAGCTTGAGCATAGATCTCATCATTTCCTCTTTGAAGACTAGAAATAGATTTGAAGACAGTGCCAGAAGTTTCTCCAAATACTTACTCATGCCGCTGTATCTTGTATGGTAGCTACAACACGACTTTCAGTTGTACAAAACCCCCATTACGGGGCCATTTGAAACTTCACACTCACACACAACACAAGTGTGTGTGTGTGTTTTGGGGAGGAGGTGGCATGGAATGCAGACCATGTGCTTGATGGTGTGTGTGAGGTCAGAGTGCATGAGGGTTCACCCAATCTGCTGGAGAGCCAGGCTGCTGTACTCTATCAGTCATCACATGCCTCTTCAGAAAAAAAAAAAGTCTTCAGAAAGCAGAAGTTGTGGATGATGACTAAAGACAAAGAAACCTGACAAGCAAAATGAATGTTACGTAACAGGCTTTGAATACCAGAGAACCAAAAGTAAATCACTTAGTTTTGTGTTGTTCCTTAGGGCATACTCACGCTATGCTATCCGAACCGTGTTCAGGCCCGTTTCCTGGATCATTTGAGAAGTGTGAGTGCTCTGAATCGGGCTTAGGCACGGTTCACTTGGCCGACCCTGACCCGGTTGGAAGAGGTGTGCCTGAGCACGGTTCACTTGGGCTTTAGTACGCTTGTGTGAGTGCAAAATGTGCCTAAACCCGAAAATGAAGACGAGACGTGATTTTTAAGGGACTGTTTGATTTGGATTAATTAATCAAACTGTTCAATGAACGCAAATTGACGTAGTTTAGTAAAGACGCAAACCCCTCACTGCACGACAGCTGCACCTTCAGCAAACCTCCTAATTCCTGCAGCACGAGGACTTTATGATTGTTTATGAGCGTCAAAAGGGGCTGATCTGTTCAGCGAAATATTTGACTGCGTCACCGCATATCAGGACTTAAACGATTTAACTAAAGAAAACTCAGCTGGGCTGAGCGAAAGCGCTTACTGAACAGGGCACCATCGATGAGGTAAGCATGCCCAGGCCTGAATGTAAGGGCCTACTCACACTATGCCATCCGTACCGTGCCCAGGCCCGTTTCCCGGATCGTTTGAGAAGTGTGAGTGCGCTGAATCAGGCTCAAGCACGGTTCACTTGACCGGCCCTGGCCCGGTTGGAAGAGGTGTGCCTGAGCACGGTTCACTTGGGCTTTGGTACGCTTGTGTGAGTGCAAAATGTGCCTGAACCCGAAACTGAAAGCGAGACGTGACTTTTAAGAGACTGTTTCATATGGATTTATTAATAATTCTTACTGTTCAGTGAACGCAAACTGCCGTAGGTTATTAAAGACGCAAACCCCTCACTGCACGACAGCTGCGCACCTTCAGCAGACCTCCTCATTCCTGCAGCGCGAGAGCTTTATGATTGTTTATGAGCGCCAAAAGTGGCGGATCTTTTCGGCGGAATATCTGACAGCGTGTCCCCGCATCCCTAAGGACTGTTTGCCGAAATATTTGACGGCATATCAAACGACTGAAACGATATAACTAGAGAAATCTCCACTGTGCTGCTGAGTGAGAGAGCGCTTCTCACTGAACAGCGCAGCAGCGATGACGTAAGCGTGCCGAAGCCCGTTTGTGGTGTGAGCGCGGGCCGTCGGGGGAGACGGGAGGGGGGACAAGCGGGCTTTGGCCCGATTCGAGGCAGCTGTACCTAGTGTGAGTACGGCCTAATATATGTGCGGGCAGTCAGGGGGAGACGGGAGGGGGACAAGGGCGCTTTGGCTCGGTTCAAGGCAACTGTACATAGTGTGAGTACACCCTTAGACCTTATCTTTCATGTAAGGTTGGGCATGGCCTTTGTAACTTGAAGGGTCAGATCACTGTGAAAATGATGTTAATTACGCTCATGTCATTCTAGAGCTGCACAGTTAATTGTAAAAAGATCGCCATCTCGATTCAACCCCCTAGAATTTAGCATTACTACGATTCTGTCAATAAAATTTCCATTTTTAGGAGAGAAGCAAAAGCGACCGTACAAGTCTTCACATTGTTTTACATACGTTGTTCAGCTATGTGCCCACCTTCAAATGGTGTTGAAAAAGTCACATGCTGTATTTATAAGATATAATTCACCAAAAAAAAGTAATTTCTGCCTTCATGTAATGATTTATTTGCGACCGCAAAATCACACGTGACGTGAGCTGACCGTCAGCTGTTACCACAGAGAGTCGGTGGCTGTCCTCGGCGCCCAACCTCGACTCAGGACACTGTTCATATCTCTGCCGCGCCACAAAGCGCCATC